TTTAATTTATTGTTTTGTAAAAGAACCCATTTGTGGTTATGTAATATTTTATTTAAATTCCTTGAGGTTTCTCCTATGTATTCTTTGTGGCAATTATTACAGGTAATAAATTCTTATATAAAGTTTGAGCTTATTATTTTGTTTTGTATTAAGTATTTTATTGTTTTAGACAATAGTAGTTTTTATGTTGAGCTTAGATAAATTCTTTTCAATTATAATTGTGATAGAGTTGTTGGGGAGAACAATATATTTTGATTCATTGAGTTTGTCAGGGAGGACTGTTCTTCTATTTTGAAATAATTTATGAATCTTTCATTTTGCATTGTATATTAAATAGAGTATTGGTAGAGCTTGAAAGTATTTTCAATGTATTTCTCCTCTTTTTCCACTTAGTCATACTTCTTTTTCCTATATATATATATATATATATATATATATATATATATATATATATATATATATATATATATATATGTATGTATAAGGTAAAGAAGATAGTAAAACTGTATTATTAGTCGATGCATTTTGTCCAATATGGACTTTTCAAGGCAAAACAAAAGTATTTGACATAATTTTCAATTAACAATAAGAATATAATAGCATTTTCTAAATTCTTCTAGTTGCTAAAGACATTTTGTTTCTTGTTAATAGTTACTTTGTTTACAATAAATTCTTTTCATTTTTGCCTTGAAAAAGTCCACATTGGACGAAACGTGTCAGCTAATAATACAGTTTCCCTATTGTCTTTTACCTTTATACATATTATCTTTTTCTACAGGTTAACTCTGAGAAATTTTTCATATATATATATATGTAAGATGGAATATGTTAAAACCAGTTGATGTTTTAATTTTTTATTCTTTTGCCAATGATTGATTCAAAGATTGATTAACTGATTTGTTTTTCATAACTTACCAACCCTTTATATTATTTAAAACAGAAACATAATTGATGGATAAAAATGAAATGGCAATGACAGCTGAAAATGCAAATCATTAATTTCTGAAGCAAACTTTACAATTTGATTTTTCTTGTAGGTTAGTTTGGTCAGTGGATCAATTTCACCCCAAAGTGAAGTCAGTTTCACAAATTTATGAATTTCTCGAAAATGAGTATCATGTGTAACTCAATGTGAAAATAATGACATAATCAAGATGTCAACATTTCATGCTACTTTTCAAATAAAAGTTTAGGAGAGAAACCCTTATTAATAGTGGAAAGAGTGATAATAGCTACTGGACTTGAGAAATGTATTTTTCTGAAAATTTGTTTTAAGAGAAAGATTTTATATATTTCAATCAACAGTAATACAAGCTGCTTGGTTAATGAACGCCATTTGTTTGCTGGTAAGTTGGTTGATCAATCACAAAGAACTGTACCAAATAGCAGAAATGATAACACTTGAGGACTTTCAAAAACAGCAATAAATAAAATAGATAGCATATGTAACTTGAAGAAAAATAACAACAACCACGATTTTGACATTCCAGACAACTTCAAACAAAAGCTTAGGAAGGAAACCCCCATCAGTACTGGAAAGAGCGATAATAGCTACTGGAATTGAGAATCCTATTTCCCTGAAAATTTGTTTTAAGAGAAAGATTTTATATATTTCAACCAACAGTAGTACAAGCTGCTTGGTTAATGGATGCCAAATGTTTCCTTATAAGGAAATGGCTAATATTACCATTACCATTACCATTCATTGAAAATGATCTTCCATCAGCTGTCATAGACACAATCTTTCCATTGGATCAATCCAATAATATATATATTTCCACACTAGATTAAACAAAAGCTTAGGAAATAAACTTCTATCAATACTAGAAAGAGTGATAACAGCTACTGGACTTGAGAAACCTATTTTCTTGAAAAACTGTTTTAAGAGAAAGATTTGATAATTTTCAACCAACAGAGATACAAGTTGTTTAGTTAATGAATGCTAAATGTTTCCTTATAAGGAAACAGCTAATATTATAACTGCCATTACCGATAGGCAACCAGATTCTCATCATGAACCATTACCCTACACTGATGTACCTCACCTGATGAAGATTGAAGAGGAAATGCTATCATTTATAAGCACAGTAAAAGTGTGTAGATTAGTGTAGAGAAATTTAATTTCTTTCTTCCTCATTAGAAGAACACAGACAGATAATAACTGTGCTTAAATTTACAGCAACTGACACCCTGACCCCAGAGTCTACCTGATAACAGATTAAGAAGATGCAGCATGCAGCCTAAACAATCTTCTTCACCATCTCCCTCATCATCACCATTCACCTCAGTTATGATACATATGCAAAAGACTTCAAGATTATAGCATCAATGAGCTGCTCCTCCCATCACAAAATTAAGTGCACACATGGGAAAGATAAGCCTTGATTATTCACCATGGCAACAGAGGCAGATAAATGACAAGTATTGCTATGAGAAAGGTGCGGAGATATTTCTGTGAAGTTTTGTCTCAGTAGACTTTGTGTGTATAGGATTATGGATGAATGGTTAGATGAGAGATGCTCTGCCTAATCTAAAATGGTGACTGTCCAAGACTATAATAGGTTCAAGAATTTGGAAAATCACTTTACAAGTGAAATTTACAAGTCAGCCAAATTTTGAATTCTTTATTGTTTGACATTTCTGTCTATATAGTTATATTAGTAGACAAATTAAATTTTCTTTAATGTGAATGTGCAGTTTTAATATCTCTACACTTGTACACTCATTTATGATAGATGATGAACAGACTGAAGTAGATAGATAGATAGATAGATAGATAGATAGATAGATAATGAACAATCTGAAGTAGATAGATAGATAGATAATGAACAAACTGAAGTAGATAGATAGATAGATAGATAGATAGATAGATAGATAGATAGATAGATAATGAACAATCTGAAGTAGATAGATAGACAATGAACAAACTGAAGTAGATAGTGAACAAACTGAAGTAGATAGATAGATAGATAGATAGACAGATAGATAGATAGATAGATAGATAGATAGATGGATAATGAACAAACTGAAGTAGATAGATAGATGGATAATGAACAAACTGAAGTAGATAGATAGAAACATAATGAACAAACTGAAGTAGATAGTGAACAAACTGAAGTAGATAGATAGATGGATAATGAACAAACTGAAGTAGATAGATAGATAGATAATGAACAAACTGAAGTAGATAGATAGATAGATAGATAGATAGATAGATAGATAGATAGATAGATAGATAGATAATGAACAAACTGAAGTAGATAGATAGATAGATAATGAACAAACTGAAGTAGATAGATAGATAGATAGATAGATAGATAGATAGATAGATAATGAACAATCTGAAGTAGATAGATAGACAATGAACAAACTGAAGTAGATAGTGAACAAACTGAAGTAGATAGATAGATAGATAGATAGATAATGAACAAACTGAAGTAGATAGATAGATAATGAATGAACTGAAGTAGATAGATAGATAGATAGATAGATAGATAGATAGATAGATAGATAGATAGATAATGAACAAATTGAAGTAGATCACTAAAATCTTAACCTGTTCAAGGCTAGGGTTAACCGTTCTCATTCACTCCTGTACACACAAATGGCCTCCACAAATAACCCTCTACCTCAAGTGACCCCCAGGTGTTTTAAAGGGTGAACCTTGCTGTAAAAACATAAAAAAAAACAATAGATAGATACAAACTGATGTATATAGATAATATCTAGTGTCTTCCTGTGTCTTTTAGTGTCTATTGTTCTCTCTCCTTAATAATATTTCTGTTTTCTAATCCTTTCACTAGAAGACATGACAAGATCTATTTTCATAGCACTGCCTAAGAAACCAGATGCAAACAAATAACAAATAATCATCCTAATGGGCCATATAATAAAACTCATCATCCGAATCAAACTGGAGACATAGGAACAAGGAACACAATATTTATGCTTAGAATGCTATCAGAAAGAGCAATTCATATGCAGAAGGATGTGTACCTGCATTTTATAGATATACAAAAATAGAAAGGTGTGTAAGACAAGTATGTGTTGTCTCACCAGACATATTCAGCCTATACAGTGAGGCAATTTTGAGAGAATTAGACATCTTATCAGGATTTATTATTGGCTGCCACAATATTAACAACATAAGATATGCAGATGACACAGTGTTGATAGCACACACGGAAAGAAAACTACAGAAGCGTCTACAAGTAGGTAATGAAGTAAAGCAAGAAGAAAGGACTAAACATAAACTGTGAAAATACAGAATTCATGGTCATTAGCAAAAGGATGCACTCAAAATGCAAATTACAAATCAGAAATACCAAAATCAAAAAATTCTAAAAATTTAAATATGTGGGAAGTGTTCTGACAGAGGATGGAAAGTGTCACACACACACACACACACACACACACACACACACACACACACATATATATATATATATATATATATATATATATCACAGACGGGCTGTGGCTTCCCTCTGCCTTTTCTACAAGTACTTTCATGGCAACTGTTCTGACGAGCTATTTTCACTGGTTCCCAAAATGCATGAATTTAAGTGTGCTACTAGGTTCACATCTTGAACCCACCTTTTCGATATCGAAGACTAAATGTAGCTATCTATTCTACTCCAACAGTTTCTTATCTCACACCTCCCATCAGTAGAACTCCCTTCCTATCACTTGCTTCCCTGATAGTTATAATATTCAAATATTCAAATGTAATGTCAATTGACATCTTCTGATGCCTTGATCTTGATCCCTGTCCATCTCTTTATCCTTTTCCCAAACACTCCTCTTTACTCTCACTCTCTGTAACCCCTTGCATGCTAGTGGCACTCCTGCCTTGCTTGGGGCAAATCGTTTATAAAATATATATACATATATATATATATATATAGTAATGATACAATATGGTAATCTGTATGGAATTTCCAGGAGGATATTGATCTATAGAGAGCTCTATGTCAAAAGACAGAGCAAAATTATTATTAATTAAAGAATGTTAAACACTTAAAATCCCATAGGTAATAATTTTTATTTCATGAGAGCTCTAAAAAAACAGCTCTCAATCTTCAAAACCTACAGACAAAATCACCTTTTATGATTTTATTTGAGAGAAAGATGTAAATATAAATGTCAGTTATAATTATACACTGAGGGGAAATGCTGAAGATGTAGGAATGTTAAATTTAAAATTAAAAAATTTCTGGAACTTTTTTTTTACGCTGAGATTCACTCTGTATAAGACCCAGTAACTACTCAAGGGAGCGGGTTGCAGAATAAGAGGCAGTTTATGTGGATAGGAGAGGAAAATTACAGCTAACCCTAGACTTGAGCAGGTTAAGATTGTGGTGATCAGATAAACATCTTCATGGGAGTTGGTTCTACAGAGCAGTGGTTCATGGGAAAAAGCTGCTTGAGTGGAACTTACTTCTCACCAATGGAATATGGAGGGAATGACTGTGGTTTTCTATGATGTGAGTGGCATGGCAAGTCCTAATCATGAAGGCTAGAATCAAGTAATGCAATTTGTTCAAGAAATTTCAATGGAAATAGTGATAGAGCAGTGAGAGGCTTGCCACAACCCACCTGTGATAGAGAGATTGTTGTGTGGAAAATAATTTGTCACCCTCAAGAACTTAGAAACGCTTTTGGACTCTTTTGAGACTGGAAAGTGAGCTCTTGCCCAAATATGACAACAGTACTCCATTTTTTACCTGATCTGGCTCTTGTAAAGGTATAGGATATTATGAGGAGTCAGGTACTTACTGGACTGGTACAGGGAATTCGATATATTTAGATGCACAACTCAGTTGATCTCATTCTGTTTACCAATGTTTTTGTTTTTATTGCTGTTGCTTAGAAATATCCCACACTGTAACAACAGAAGATTTTTTAATAATGGTGATATGCTGTAAGAACCCGCATGCAAGTTTCTCATGAAAGACTCAGAAATCAGTACACTTGCTATACATTTTCACCTTACATAACATACTTGCTTTTTAATTAAAGCAGTATTTTTGTAATCAAAATTATGATCAGATTCATTGTAATGTGTTTTCTAATATCTAATTTTCTAATTTGTGTTCATATAATCTTTTATTTATTCAAATTCCTCAAAGTCTCTTCTATGTATTTTATACAGCATATTTACAGGCTATAGCGTAAATTCCTGCTCCAAGTTTTAGGTTCTTTTTCGACTCTTATTGTTTTAGAAGTATTTGTAACACACTTTGTTAAGTTTAGATAAATCCTTTTCAATTTTAGTTGGGATAGAGTTGGTTGGCAGTATTATGTTTCTAGTTTTATTAGGTTTATTTATATCATTTATTCTTTAAAAATTTGATGAGCTTTTTAATTTACATTAAATATGAAATAATAAGGATACTGGTGGAGTTTAAAAGTATTTTCAATATATATCTCTTTATCATATAAATATAGAGAACCACAAATTCTCTTAAATAGTTATTATATTTATTCCACATTTCATTTTAATGTTATGATGAGAATACAAATTTATTTTTATTAGTAGATTTACAATAGACACTTAGTTTTATGTTATTATCAATACAGTTTAACATTATATCAAGGAAAGGTAATGTGTTGTTTGTTTCTGTTTCATAAGTTCTATCATATGTTCAATTTTAGTTACAAGAACAGTTAATATTGTTTTACACAGTCAGCTCATCCTCATTCCCTTCGTATTCCATTGGTAAGGGGGAAGTACCACTCAGACAGCTTCTTCCCCAAAACTGTTACATTATAGGGCAGACCCGCAAGAGGATATTTCCCTTATTACTACACTCTTAACTTAATCTTCATTTAATCATTATCTATCCTACATATCTATAAAATATAGACCTCTTACTCCTACCTTGTATGCTCTAACAATAACCTCATTGAGTAATACTCTACCTTATGTGGCTCTTGGAGCTTGTACTGGCTACACATTTAAAAGAATTATATATATATATATATATATATATATATATATATATATGCATGCAGAAGAACTATAGCAGTGGTTACCAAACTTTTTTTCTCTGGGCCACATTTTTTGAATGAAAATTTGCTTGTGTCTCACCAAATTTTATGTGATAGAAAGTACATTGAAAAATTAAAAAACAGAGAGAGGATTAAAGGGAGATAACTGTGAATTCAAATTTGGAATATTATCATTGATAACTCTCTCCTCCAATATGTGGACTCTAGTTAGTATATTCTTAATACTTGATATAATGCAAAAATATCACAATGATAAAATCAGTCAATAATTATTTATAACTAATTATAATGGGACTCATGCATGCAATTACAAATAATCCATAATAATATTTTAAATTTTGAAATCATATTTATTTTTGACATATGAATTTTTTGAATCTATTTATAAATCTTTGATTATCTTTCAATCATTCCACCTCACCTGCTCTCCTCTTCCGTTGTACCTATGAGGTGCGCTATACTGTTTGAGAACCACTAAATTACAGTATACTTTCCAGGAATAAATTTAAATCAAGAATTAGGTATATTTTTTAAGTTATTCCTGTGCTCCTTTAGTCATAATGTCTCAGTTAAACACTATATCCTTATCTTTATTGGTTGATTGATTTGTTTTTTATGGCTTATCAATATTTTTTTTATACTGTAAGATTTTTTGGGAGATAATAATGATTTACTGATACAAGTCCTACTAAGTAACCTGTAGATAAGAAGAGAAGAGGTGTATTCATACCCTTTCTAGGGGTATTTGTACATAAGTGAATATAATGAACCCGATTGGAAATGGAACTTGGCTTTTCAATTTCCAATTCCAAGCACTTATCCATTACACCAACTGCACATCCAAGCTTGCAGCACCTAGAATTCCCAAGTGGTTACCCATCTGGATATTGACCAGGTTCAATATTGCTTAACTTTGGTGATCATAAGAGAACTGGTGTTTCAAAGTGATATGTCTAAAAATCTTCCTTCTCTTTAATAAAATGTCTTACATACAAAAATCATTTAAATATTTTACTTTTTCATTCTGCATTAAGGCAGGTACAGAGGCAATCATGTTATAGTTTCTCTCCTCTTTCAGTTATAACTAACAAAAATCTGGAGAAGCCTGGAGAGTACAATGACTGATACAATGGTCTGAATAGCAAAGTATATACTAAAGAATTTGAAGTAATTTTTTAATTTTACTTTTAGAATAATAAAATTGAATATTGAGTTTAGATCATAATAGCAGCAGGTTTGACTGTAGAGGATATACATAGTAGCAGAAGTTAGCTGATAGGGGGTCTTTAAAAACCCAAGCTTTCAAAAAATAACCCCTTCTTCACTTTTCTTTTACATATGCATATGGTCACATACCTAACAGGAAGTATTCCTCTCCAACTAGTCAGCAAGTAGTAATTTTCTTTTTTCAGAAATGTAGACATTCTGATTCAAACAAAAGAATACCTTTTCCACAGCCTGTTTTTTTAATATTTTTACTATACTTTGTATTTAATAAAATTTTAACCAGTGGTCTATTTGCTTTTGTTCTATATCATTTTGTTGAAAACAGTTTTTGGTAATAGAGGTACCTCCTCAGTAGTTATAATGGTTTCCTACTTGTTTCTGAGTACGCCCATTTGCTAGGGTGGCTAGCCAATTCCTCTTGCAGACACCTGCTCAAGTACATTTGTGTTTGTTCAATGCCCACAGAAGCCTGCCTGTTGTTTATATTGCAAGTATGTTGAGTGGGCTTGAATTACACTTTGAGAGCATATCAACTGGCATGATCAGCAGCTTAAACAAGACCAATACATTTAAACCTTTGGTCATGATGACTAGCGAATTCATGTCCTTTATACATAGTACTTTAATTGTAGCCAGATTAGATATTGGTCATTCACAATAACAACGCTTTTTTGAATGCATTTCTTTAAAGTCATATAGTTGGCAACATTGGCTATTTCAGAATGCTTTAGGTTTGAAAAGATGAAGCATTATTCTATCTGATCAAACTGTGTTGGGTACAGTCAAAAATAGAAATGATTAAAATCCAATAGCAAGCAAATATCTGAAGGCAAAGTTCTATACGTGGCCTAATTTTAGATTCATGAAGTCCTGATGAGTTTGACTGCACAAAGTCCTTCCAAGTTCTTGCAATGAATCTCAATTTCATTGCAAGACACTTGTTAGTGCTTGTCTCAATATTTTTAGCATTTCTTATTTCACAGTCTTGCTCATGTCATTAAACTGCCACCTCTTCTCTCATCAGTTCGGTGCAAACACATTACACAGATTTGCAAGGTCAGCAGTGATGAAAATAATGAGTTTCTAGTTCAGCAAAAGGATGTATATAAGGAAAGAAAAATGTTAATATCAAGAATGTACAATTAAATTAATTAGATATTGAATAATATATTATTTACATTACATTGTTTTCATTATTTTATACATTAATATAACTCTATTTTTGATCTATTGTAACTGAACCTATCTTTCTGCCAATCCTTAATTCTCTCATTCTCTTATTCATCTAATATTTATTTATATCAAGCTCATATTACACTTTATATTTTTGGTTTAATTAATATCTTCTTCTTCCATGTGCCATGTCCCTTCAAGTTGTTGGCAATCATGGCTCTCCACAATTTTCTATCTAATTATTCATCTAATATTTGTGGTTTCTATTTTGCTCATATATTACTTTATATTTTTGGTTTAATTAATGTCTTCATCTGTGTGCTATATCTCTTCAGGAAGTGGGTAAGTATGGCTCTCCACAATTTCCTATCTAATTATTCATCTAATATTTATTTCTATAAAGCTCATGTTACATTTTATATTTTTGGTTTAATTAATATTTTCTTTTTCTTCTTCTTCTTCTTTGTGCCATATTCCTTCAGGACATGTGTAATTATGGCTCTCCACAATTTCCTGTCTAATTATTCATCTAATATTTATTTCTATCAAGCTCATGTTACATTTTATATTTTTGGTTTAATTAATGTTTTCATCAATGTGTCATGTCCCTTCAGGAAGTAAGCAATCATGGCTCTCCACAATTTCCTGTCTAATTATTCATCTAATATCTGTTTCTATCAAGCTCATGTTACATTTTATATTTTTGGTTTAATTAATATCTTCTTCTTCTTCTTCTTCTTCTTATTATTATTATTATTATTATCATTATTATTATTATTATATTCCTTCAGGACATGGGCAATCATGGCTCTTCACAATTTCCTGTCTGGTTATTCATCTAATATTTGCTTCCATCAAACCAATGTCACATTTTATATATTTGGTTTAATTAAAATCTTCTTCTCCTATATGTCATGTCACATCAGGATATAGGCAACTATGGCTCCCCACAATGTCCTGTCCTTTGTAGCTTTTAGTAAAGTTTGTCTTTGTGTTATCTCTCTTTATCAATCAAGCTTTTTGTATGTTGCCTGCTCTTTTTCTTTCCCAAAGTGATCTCTCTAGTGTATGTCTCCAAGGTATACCTCACTTTTGCAAATGCGAAAAAGTTATCATATAAATACGATGATGGTTGCTGTCCACTTGCTGCATAAGGACAGCTACGAAACAGGCTGCAGCACATAAGATAGTCTTCCCAAACTCCTAGAAACCAGAAAGTTCCTACAATAATCATTCATAGCTTGCACAACTCTCTGTGGTCTCCCAGTATCAGATAGCCTTGATCCAATGAGAAGAACCAGTCCAAGATAAGTGGAGACTGCTTGTGCCATAAACAATCTAAATAGTCTAATATTAAAACACAGGCAGGGCCATTAATGCTTGAATCATATCAATGATGATATGTCCTCTGCTATTGCTCACAGTACTAGGTGCTCCTTCCCAAGAAGCTACCCATCTATGTACTGAGCAGGCTCAATGTTTCTTAACTTTGATAATTGAACAGAAACCAATACCTTCAGTATGATTTTACTATTAGCATATACACCTCCAAATATATACATATATAAATATGAACGCAAATACAAAACCAAGATTTTTGAATTGACTTTAACATGCATGTGCAAACATGCACATATGCATAAAGATATTTTCTTTTTAAAGACAGAGACCTAATTGACATGAATTTAGTTGCACACAGCCCCTACATCCAACCCCCAACTGCAAGGTGTGGGATGTCATAATTTATAGCTCTTGCTCAGCTTTGGTATTTGCAAAGGGAATGTATATCCATACTATATTCCAACTTGTTCTGCAGTCATTTCTGCAACTGAAAGGTCATATGATTTTTCAACATTATAATGCCTTCCTGTCTGGACATTTTATTTTATTTCTATATGATTAATACTCTATTTCTTAATATTGAGTACTTTGAACTTCTTGCCATTATCCATTACACCATCTACACATCCAACCTTACAGCACTTGGAATTTCCAAGAGGTCACCCATCTAGTTACTGATCATGCTTGATGTTACTTATCTTCAGAGATCATACAGGAACCAGTGTTTCAACATGATGTGGCCATAAGCCTTTAGATAGACCTGGATGTATGTAAAAAATAATCTTGTTACAAGAAATGCAAGTTTAATGCATATGTTTACATATGTGTGGGGGTTTATAACTATTTTTATTAAATTTTATATGAATAAAAATAAATTTACATGAGAATTGAAAAGCATCATATAGGTAAACACTCACATATTTCCAGATATGTATAAAAGAAAAGTTTCGGTCAATAAAATGTATATACATTTACAGTTTTCTAAATGTATATACATTTACAGTTTTCTATCAATAAAATGTATATACATGGCTACTAATGTCACAAGAAGTATCATTAATTTCATTTTATTGCGAAAACTATCATTTGAAAAAACAAAATGTAATAGCATAAAATAATTTAAAATAAAGGAAAGACAATTATTATTTAAGCGTATAATAATTCAATTTAATATTCTAATACTGACCATATCAACTAAAATTGTATACTTATGCATAATATAAGAGTGCCAACTTAAAATTTTTTTTCTGTTTTAGAGAATTAATGAGAGAATTGAAAACTGAAAGAAGATGAATGAAAAATGGGAAAATGAGGTACATCGGGAAAGAAGGAAAAAATGAAAAAAAAATGTAATGTAAAAGAAGAAGGAAAAAGTGAAAGAAAAATGTAATGTAAAAGAAGAAGGAAAAAATGAAAGAAAAATGTAATGTAAAAGAAGAAGGAAAAAGTGAAAGAAAAATGTAATGTAAAAGAAGAAGGAAAAAATGAAAGAAAAAAGTAATGTAAAAGAAGAAGGAAAAAATGAAAGAAAAATGTAATGTAAAAGAAGAAGGAAAAAATGAAAGAAAAAAGTAATGTAAAAGAAGGAGGAAAAAATGAAAGAAAAAAGTAATGTAAAAGAAGAAGGAAAAAGTGAAAGAAAAATGTAATGTAAAAGAAGGAAAAAGTGAAAGAAAAAAGTAATATAAAGGAGGAAGGAAAAATTGAAAGGAAAAGTAATGTAAAGGAAGAAAGAAAATGTGGAAGAAAAAAGTAATGCGAAGAAGGAAGGAAAAAGTGGAAAAAAAAGTAAAGAGTGAAGAAAAAATATAAGATAAAAGTAAAGTAATGGAAGAGGGGCATGCTGCTATAAAAAAGAAAAAAGAAAAAACAAAGAAAACAAAAAATGGAAGTGAAAATTGAAAATTAAGGGAAAAGAGAAGTGCACCAGAAAAGAAGAAAATGAAATAAAAAAAGAATAAGTAATGACCACAGGATATGGTGTTGTGAGAAAGGAAAGAAAGAGAAGGTAAAAAACAAAAAGTGAAGTCAAAATTGAAAAATAGAAAAAAATGAAATGTAAGTGAAGCATAAATGTAAAATGAAAAAGAAAAACAAAGTGAAATAAGTGAAGAAGGAAAAAGTGTAGGCTTGTATGTTGTGTGAGTGAAAGTGAAAAATGAAAGTTTACTAAAAGAAAATGGTAAAATGAAAAATTAAAAGAAAAAAAGCCCCAAATGGAATGATATGGAATTGTGAGAAAGGAAGAAAAGCAAGAAAAGAAGAGGAAAAAAAAGAAGGAAAATAAGAGAGACTCTACATAAATAATTAGTTTAAAAAAAGAGGAAAAAAAAATAGAAAAATATTGTGAAAGAAAAAAAACAAAATGGATGATAGAAATGCAACATAGAAGTAGTAGGTTAAGTATTGATCTGTTTCAGTTTTGGAAATGTAAGGTAAAAAAAATATTCCAGATTCCTTGAAGCTTTCACACTTCCCCCGAAGGTACTCGACTGCTGACAGAAATTGGTTTCTATCAACTTGAGTCACTCAATACATAACAATGGCAACTGATACCTGATCATGCCTTTTATTCATCCTCAATGTGTTTTGCTTTATTTTAGTACATCTCTATTTATTTTGATTTTTTGCCTTAGGCTTATATTTTTAGTAACACACCAATTTTTACTTTCATCCTAATCTTCCTCCTCCTCCTCTTTTTCATCATCATCTTAATCAGCAGCAGCAGCAGTACAAATATTTATTTACTTGTTCATGCCAGGTGTCTGGTTGATATCACTTGAAATTAAGTGAAAGCAAGTCTCCTCAAATCATCAACATTTTTCTCATTACTCTAGCAGACTCTGACATTGCCTTAGTCTGGACAGTCTTGATTTTTTATATTATTATTATTATTATTATTATTATTATTATTATTATTATCTTATTATAATTGTGCTCATCCCTCCCTTCATTAGTTTGCATAACTATTATGTTCTGCCAATGCTTAATAAATAATGAATTATTCTGTTTTGATTGCATGAAAAGAGGGGAAAAGATATGGCTTGGTTTCAATGAGAAAATGCAAAAACAGAAAAAAAGAAGGGAAGATAAAAAATGTTTAATGGCTCTTTCAGTGAAATGGAAAAAGTTGTCAATTTCAAATGTTTTCATTTGTACCCCCTTACTTCTTAAAATAATAACCAGCATTCATAATTTTGATTGTTATTGCAATAGTTTGTTAAAGTTGTTAAGCTCAAATTCCCAACAATGTGATAGGGGAATTTCCATGTATATTTTAATGTTGTAGAATTTGCCAAGATCTTATTCAATCATAAACTGAAGAATTAAGATTAATCAGAATATTAAAATAGGAAAACTGTGTGAAATTTTCACAGGTTAAAACTAGTTTTTCATATTATTATTATTATTAACATTATTATTAGCAGCCACCATGAAAATTTCACAGTTCTCTTTGAATTTTCTGATGAATTATAATTTCCAAATTAATGATTGAACAAGTGCCTTGCAAGTTCCATAACTATAAAATATCAGTGGAATTTCCCCCATAATGTTCTTAAATATTTAAGCTTAACAACTTTAACATAATAATACAATAACAATCATCCATCATACATATGAATACAGGTCATTTTCTTAAATAAGTAAGAGGGTACAAATAAAAAGATTAAAAATTGGTATGTTTTTCCATTTCACTGAAGTTAGCATGAAAAGCATGGGAACATTATCATCTTCTCTTTTTCTCTTTCTTTCTTCTTATTATGTATGCTTTCTTTTTGGCACTAAAACCAAGCAGTATCTCTGATATATCTTTTTCTTATATATTTCCTCATAATCAAAATGGAATGGTCTGTTATTTACCTGTGGTAATAGCAGGGCATAACACACATGCTAACTAACAAAGTAACAGAGGAACAAGCAAAATTACATTATTATTATTATTATTATTATTATTATTTTATTTCCTTTGATTTCAGGTGTGTACTCATTTCTTTCCAAGTCCTGACCAGTGACCTAAGGTCAGAAATGGCAGCATGCCATTTTTCACTGAGAAAAAAAATCACATATTTTACATAGATAAAGCTGTTTATAATGTGTGGCTGTACTTTTGAGAATAATTTTTTGTATTTCTTTAAGGCATGGGCTACCAGGAATCCCTTCAATGAGTCTATTGGAATCTTTTCCAATCAGTCTGAGGACTCCAACTACAACCTGAATTGTTGATGTTCTCAAGTGCCACATTTTTGAGATTTCGATTTCAAGTTCCTTGTATTTTGATAGCTTTTTGAAGATCTTCAAAGATACATTGCAGTCTGCAGGGACTGCCATATCAATAAGGAGGCAATTTTTTTGTTTACGGTCTCTAATGGCAATGTCTGGGCAATTGATTTTTATGTGTATCGTGAAATCTCATAAAATTGTTACAGGTCCTGTCTCTGTAACATCTCCGGATCTATTTTTTTGCTTTTTATTTAGTTCAATCTCTTACTGGGTTATTACTGATAACCTAGGATAAAGGAACGTATTAAATATATCATTCTTTTTTAACAAAATGTGATATTAAGTGATACTTGACATGTACATTTATATTTTTAATACTCTTCTGAGTAGATTGTAAATTTCAGCATTCCCACATTGCTACTGAATGTGATGTAATGTTGGAGTTTAGCATGGGTTTACCAGCAGTACTGCCGAAAAATTACCCAATGCCCCTCAGTACTTCCCCTTTTGAGGACTTCTCAGGTGTCAGGCAATAAAACCAGCCCCCTCCCAAAGGAAAAGTACTGCCTGGGAGGAAGGCTCCTGGGGCTTGGGCTAAAATATTTGTTCCCTGACCCACAAAAAGGCTGAAGAGAAGATAATCTTCTAAGTAGATGAGCAGTTTCACAATATGCATATTATTTAAAATATAAACTTCTAAAAAAAAGATCAAGCCTCAATTCCAAATGCAGGTATGATAACAAATTCCCACTATGCTACCTACAACCTCATCATAACTCAGAATATTAATTAACATCCCATAAACTAAATCTAATAAAATTTATCTCAAATACCAAAATAACTTGATCTACATAACTTTTGCATGAACATTTCATTTGTCTCCCCTTAGTATCAGAAGTTATATAGATCAAATTAGGATTTGTTTTATTAAGCATACTAACTCACCATCAGTGCTAAAGAATCATATTTCTCATTTTTTTAAGATAATGTTCACTCTGTACAAGACCCAAGAGCCACTCTAGGTAGAGAGTTAAAGAGTAAAAAGAACAGTTTATGGTGATATGTGGGAAAGATGACAGTTAACCCTAAATAGAAACAGGTTAAGATTGTAGTGATTGAGGAAGCATCCTCTTTGGAGTTAGTTCCACAAACTTCATTGGAAGAAGCTGCTCAAGTGGAAATGGCATAAAAAAGGAATAAGAGTGGTTCATTATAATGTGTGTTGCATGGCAGGTTTTAGCAGTGAAGGTTAGAACTGATAGAACTAAAGAATTGCAGTTAATCTGAACACTTTCCATGGAAATAGCAAGAGGCTTGTGATTTTTCATCTGTGGGAAAGAGGTTGTAGGGTGGAAAATAATTCATCACCCACAAGGACAGAGACGATTTTGGTTATCAGGACTGTAAAGTGAAGACTGGGCAGCTCCAGCCCATGTATAACAGCAGTACTCCATTTTCAGCTTGATCTGGCTCTTTCCAACATCTTTAGTGATGGATCGCATATACAAGTTCCACTTGAAATCTGGGGTGAGCTTAACCATTTGAGCCCTGTACTCCTGAACAATTTTAACCCTTCTGCCTGAGCTCCTGAGTCAAAATTCACAAATAATTAGTATGTAATGTTTCATGGTAGATATAAAAATAGTTACAAGTGTTTACCCACTGTTAAACTGGTAACTGGGCATTAAGTTATTATTACTACCAGTAAAGCAGTTGTCAGGGCTAAAAAGGTTAAGTCCCAATTGGTGCTCAACATATGTGGCCTCCTTGAGAGAACATCTGTTCAACACAATAAACAAAAAGTCAGGCCCTACTCAGAGATGATGGAACATCACTAGTTTGGCTTTCAAGGTATTGAATGTGACCAGCCAGTTTTTCCCCACTGGGACATTAGAGCTGTCAGAAGAGAAACTAGCTGCCAGGCTCTGAGTATCTAGTGTTTTGGAGGTGCACCCATATACCATTGTATCATCAGCATAGATCTTTGTAACTAGTTGAAAACGCTTACTTCTCTTAGTTAAATAATACTCTTTGTAACGACAAACCTGTTTGTAGACTATCTGGGGTAAGACTGATTTCTTTTTCACTGTTAATATCCAGACAAGAAAAAATATTTATGTACTTTGAAAAAGCAGTTTTACTGAAAAGTTTTCTCTGAAAATATATTTTTTTTACTATTCATAAGATTTTCTAACTGGAAACTTATCAAGAAGTAATGAAATCTGCTTTGCTTTTTTACATTAATAATTACTGATTGGTATCTCTGGACTATAAAACTTGATTCCATAGGTAGGGCCAGATTATCCTTTAGGCCTGTATAGGCTGTAGCCTAGGGCTCCTCAAGCTTTTATAAAGAAATGGTTATAACATTACAAAGTTTTAATGTTAAAACTTGTAAATACTTTTATAAACTGAAATGATATCAATATGACAAACTCATATTTATTTGATTTTGCAGGAAACAAAGCCAAGAAACGATTGTTTCATTTTGTGTCATTGTGCTTCAAATACATAATATTTGTTTTTTTAAAAGAATGATGCTCACTCTGTACAAGATCCAAGAGCCACTCAAGGTAGAGTGTTACAGTTTATGGGGATATGTGGGGGAAGATAACAGTTAGCCCTAGACTTGAATAGGTTAAGATTGTAGTAATCTTGGTTGGTTCCACAGAACAGTCCATGGAAAGAAGCTACTTAAGAGGAACTTACATCTTACCAATAGACTAGGAAGGGAATAAAGATGGTTCATTACAATGTCTGTGACATGTTGGGTCTTAGCTGTGAAGGTTATAACTGGTGGAACTAGGGAATGTAGTTTGTCTGAAAATATTCCATTGAAATAGTGATAGAGCAGCTAGAGGCCTGCAACATTTCGTCTGTTAGAAAGGTGTTGTAGGGTGGAAAATAATTCATCACCCACAAGAATATCTGTTTCAGTTCATTCAGTTCAAAATGTTTACATCTTAGAAATTTTTATAAAGGAGTGATTTTCATTTTCTAAATGTTATAACTTCTTAATAGTTTCATAAACTGAAATGTTTTCAATATCACAAACTCATATTTATTTTGATTATTTTATTGTAATAATACTGGTTAAAAATAATCTGTTTTTTTATTATCATTGTTTTGAAATATGTATCAATTTGGTCTGCAATAAATAGTAAAATAGTGATATTTTTTAAAGAATATTTTTATTGACAAACAAAAGATATCTATTCTAGTCTATTTAAAGAGTTCACAATAGGTTTATTCCAAGTGATGTCAGCAAAGGTACCAGCTCACATCAGGATTATCATCCTCTCTCCTTATTACCTTTTTCCCCTCTGGTAGCAGTGACAGAGATGGCTGTGTAGGCCCAGCCTACTCCTGAAGAGTCATGAGCAGGAGTCACAGATGAGTGTTGGTGGTGGATGTGGCTGGGCAAGTCTGGCCATCCTGATAGCTTGACACAGAACCTCTTCATGTTGATGGTTGGACTAGAAAGTCTTGATCCCTCCTCGTATGGTTCTACACCAGGAAGACCAATTTGCAGCAATGGTTTCCCAGGCATCAGGGTCAATGTTAGCATGTGTCAAGTATGCTTTCAACTGACCCTTGAAGCATTGTTTTGGACCTCCATATAGCCTCTTGCTACTGATAAATTCTGCAGACAGGATGATACGTGGGACATTCTGGACATGCGACCCAACCAGTGGAGATGATGTTGAAGGATGGCTTGTTTTTTCTCTTTTTTTAAACTTTTCATCACAAGCAAGATGGGAGTGCCACTAGCTTGCAAGGGGTTACATAGAGTAGGAGCAAGAGTAAAGAGGCGTGAAAGAGGAAAGGATGAAGAGAAGAATGGGAAATAGATCAAGGCATCTGGAGATGTCGATTAGTTGGATAGTTGGAAATTATAGTTGGCAATTATAGCTATCAGGGAAGCAAGTAAGAGGAAGGGAGTTCCACAGATGGAAAGTGCGAGACATGAAGCTATTGAAGTAGAAGAAACAGCTACATTTAACCATTTCAACAGTATTTGTAGAAAAGACAGAGGGAGGTGATGGAATATCTGTGAGATGCCAGATCAGAGCCAACCACATTGCATATCTGTCTCTGGATTTTGTAAAAGCCTCAAATCTGGGTAGAGTTGTCCCAAACTATATAAATGTCACTAAAATATATCACGATTAAAAAATATTGAAGATGGGTGCAGGTGAGAGAGTGGCTTCATTCTTGAGAGGCCCCATAATTTCATTAACCTAAGGGCTCTAAAATGTTATAATCTGGCCCTGTCCATATGAATGTTGACAATACATATTTAATTAAAATAAAGATTGGAAAATGGTAATAGTAATGGTAATAGTAAGCTGTTTCTTTATATGGAAACATCCACCATTTACTGACTAAGCAGCCACTGTCATTGTCAGTTGAAATTTATAAAATCTATTCTATTAAATAAATTCTTCAGTAAAATAGGTTTCTCAAGTGTGGAATGCCAACATCATGATTATGTCTTTATTTTCTCTTTGAGATACATATGCTATCAAATTTTAGCTGATGTTGGAAGTCCTTAAGTGATGTGCTTTCTGTTATTTGGTATAGTTCTTTGTTTGTGTTTCTGTAGAACAGGTCCCTAAGGTTCAAGGAAGGATGGTCATCTGTAAGACCTACATGCTTCATTTGCTCAATGTCATTTTTAATCGTTTATCTGCTAAATCAGTTGTATAAGCTCACCATCAATACACAGGATTCATTTTACTGTCATTTTGACCAGTATGATATAAATGACCTGTCTCATGCAGCAAAGAAGTGCAGGTGTTTGATCTGGGAATAACCTGAGGAAATGACTTTGGCACCGATCACAGATCAAAGTCTGAGATGGAAATGACCCACATCATTCGAAAACACCTGGCTGGAAGTTATGGCATTGGCATTATGTTCTGGAAGCAAACCTATATATACAGGGAAAGAGAAAGGGAGAAAGAGAGAGTGCTTTTCAAACAGAGTAGAGAGAAGGCACAGCTGCCAATAGGCACCTGCATTCACCTCCTCTCTGAATGTAGGGCAAAAATCTTGTTATCTGTCTGGTGCCTTATGACACATAATACTTTTTTGTGAAGTAATCTAATTTTCCCATGGTTTGGTGTAATTGACCATGTCCAAACCCTGCATTCTGAGGAAGGGTTGATTTTTTTGTTGTTTTATCTCCTTTAGATGACTGTGTGTTCCCATGCTAATGAGTTCCAACTACCAGACTTTAAGAATTCAAAGTTTGCCTCCTCCTAGACTGATTGCCAACCAAGGCTGAACAGCCCATTCTGGCCTACTATTTAATCCATAGCTGGTAGGAGAAGAGAGGGATACATACCTTTCCTAAGGGTATTTGTGCAAAAGTGAAATGTAGCAAACTTGTCTAGAATTTGAACTCAGAATGCCAATTTCTCATTCCAATGTATTAACCATTACACCACCTACATATCCATAGGGCAAAGATGTGAAACCAAAGATCTGTGAATTTGGAAAAAGTTCACTCAGAGTTTCAAAGTTGCAATTTTTAAGTTTTCTTTCATCTTACATGGGCTGCAATCTCATGGAGGTCGATGCTCATTAAAAATGATCTTATGTTAATTTCTAAGAAACAAATGGATTCCATTTTTAATCTGACATTATTTCTTATTACAGTAAATGTTAATTTTGTGTATCATGTGTTTGAGTAAATGCCCTGTTTTTAGTTATTTTAAACAGTCTGAAATGTCTCTCAGTCTCTACATTCAAGAGACTTAAAGAAAATGTGTTCTCTGCCGCTACTGCTGCTGAAGCCTTGCTGTCAATCTTAGCATTGTCTGCTATCACTTCTCTTTCTTTTGTAATTAATAGATCCCATATGGTAATTATTTCTATGCTAGGTCTACTGAGAAGAAATTTTCTTTAATTGTGCAGGTAAAATGTACTAGTATGCATATATACAAATTGTATATCTGTAGTATTGCTGCATTGAGCAAAAAATGGAAGCCATTTTACCAATTGCATATTTGCTTATTTTGTGCTCCTCTGTTTCATTTTAATAGCAATAAATATTTATATATATATATATATATATATGTTTTGTTTTTAGACCTAATGCTATCTAGCCTTGTGTATGATGATAAACTACATCTGGCAGCAATGCCTCTGATCCGAAGATTAGATGTTTTCAAGAGTGTGGAACCACCTTTTAATGGTGTTGTTGTCAGGTCCACCTTAACCCAGTGTGGTAGCACCTGTTAGGATCACAGCTATGGGAAAATAGTGACCCCCAAACAAACAAAAAAACCTTGCGAAAGTATAAAAATACATATTTATCATAATACCAGCAATACATTTTTATATAAGAAATTACCAACAATAGTAAAAATTATCCACAATACCTATTTAAAGTAAAATTACCGCCGATATCTATTCATAGTAAAATTACCAACAATACCCATTTATAGTAAAATTACAGACATACCTATCTATAGTAGAATTACCAACAATACCTATTTATAATAAAATGACCAACAAAGTTGAAGGCACACAATTGCATTCAAAATATATTTAAGCCATAAAATTGTGTTCAGAATATTTAGATTTCAGCATTAAATAACCCATAGAGGTTGATATGCTGCTAAAACAAACCAACCAAACCTAATGCTATTGCACACTTCATAAACTACAGTCTAGTGTAAATATTACTTTGATATGCACAGGCAAACCAAAATAGTTGTGCTTTATTGCAGTATTCACTTTATTACTCTGGTCTGGAACTAAATTCACAATATATGCTTGAAAATAGGAATATATGAGGGTGTTTAGAAAGTAATTATTTTTGACCAGAAAGGATATAAAAATAAGTGTTAGTTAAATTAATTCAAATATTATTTATTGGAAATATCAAAAAACAGCTTTATTTTCAATAACTGCAGTTCAATAAAAAAGACAATTTTTTATTCTTTGTTTAAAGAAGTCTGGGTTTTCATCTGGAAAAACTATGAAACACTGTTTTCAATGTCTTTGTTTCTGAATGTTCTGCCACTTTTGAAATGTTTCAGAGATTGAAGCAAATAAAAAACCTGTACATGCTAAGCTGTGTGCAGAGTAATTGGTCATAGTTAAGTGCAATCAGAAAAATGCTCAACAAATGGAGTTAACAAACTTCTCAAAAAACAATAAGAAAAGGAAGAAAAAGAACAGGGCAAAATAATACTACACAAACAATATATATGCAAGTCAAAACTAGACAAAGCAACAATCAGTCAGTTATGTGCCATGCATGATACACACTTTGGCAATCATGTATCTTTTGATACATGACTGACAAGCCAGATTTTTCTTGCAGTAGGTTTGCATTTCTTTCTGCAGTAGACCAGTTGCCATCCAAGACTATAGAACATGGTCTGTTCTGCTATTCACCCATAACTGGGTGGGGGAAGGAGGATTCATACTTTTCGCATTGGTATTAGCACATAAGTATATGTAATGGATTCGACTGGAATTCGAACTCAGCACTCTGATTCCAAAATCCGAGCCGCTATCTATTACTCCACTGTGCCACCAAATCAACAGTAATAAGGCAAAATGTTCACAAAGTGAGAATGGTGTTCATATGCAAAAGGGATACAATCAAATGATTGTCGTGTTGTGATTTGAATACAAGAAAGAACAAATATGTAGCTGATGAGGCTGAGAAGTGGTCCATATTTATTGGTTAGGAAGAAATCATAGCATGCATCTGTAGTATTTGTCTATTAATTTGGGGAGGAGGGATGTGATTAGCAGTCATTCCAGGAGGTTGAAACCAACAATGTAGAAGAACTTTCCATGCTAATGATTGTATTTTTGGGGGGTTTGTTTTACAGAGTGAACCTTACATTGTCATGCTGAAGAATAACACCTTTTCTGTTTACTAAAGCAGGATATTTTCAATGTAACACTTCATTTACTCAATTTTCTTGTGATAAATATCTGCATTGATGGTCGTTCCATAATGCAGCAGTTCCTGATAAACGACATATTTCATATTCCACCAGACACAAAACAAAGACTTCTGTGAATAGAGTTCTAGTTTTTGTTCTTGGCACTCATTTCTCATTTTGTGATAAACAGTCTTTTTCATTTTCTATTGATATGCAAAACCCATTTTTCATCACTTATAACAATGTATTACTTATGTAATAGAAAAAATGAAAGATTGTCATTCTTGGTTAAAAGACTGTTTCAGAGGGTGAGATGTTGAGTTCAGTTCCCAATTGAAAGCTCATTATGAACCTGAATTCTCTCTTTGCAAGTTTTCCCAATTAAACTCTGAAATGAACTATAAATTATATACTATCAGATAGAAGATATGATAAACTAATTTTATATGTAGCTTTTTAGCATCTAATGTTGGTTCTGCTTTTGTTGGTTGGTTTATATTTCATAGTGGTAAAATATGAAATTACTTTTGAACACACTAACAGGAGAAATGATAAAGTCATTTGAGATACAGTTTCCTGCCATTCAATTTAGTTCTACCTTGGTTAGATGACTTACAATTCATAGCAGTGAAATATGTAATTACTTTCTGTAAACCTGTTATGGTAATTTACCCACACATGCATGGACTCTCCCACCTATAAATAGGAGCAAGTACTGCCTTTTGAAGAGGGTAGGTTCCAGCAGTCAGCTCTGACAGTCGGACTGAACATTCTTGCTGTAACCCTCTCATTTGTATATGTTTGTATTACTGTTTCTGTTAATATATTTGTTTAACTCAATTCCTCTTTTGTGTCTTTATTTCTGGCCCTAACAAAACCACAAAAAAACCCTTAAAAAGGAATTGACAGACTAATTCTAAACACAGTTTTCTACCATTCAGTTTTGCTTCTGTTTTGGTTGGTTGACTCATAATGCATAGCAGTGAAATATATAATTACTTTCCGAACAACCTAATATTAAGAAGCAGAAGGTGAGAGTAGTGTAACAGTTATCTGCATGAAATTGCCAAACTGAGTTAAAATGCTGACTGAGGCAGCTGATGTTTATTTAATACTGATAGGCTTGAGAAAGGCATAAATCCAATTCTCCCCAGATTCTGTGCCAACACCAGAGATTGAAACAAAAATATCTCATCATTACTATGAAGAGAAGTATTAAGTGAGCATATTGATGAACCATTCTTCCACAAGTGTCTTAGCTGTCTAGTGGCAGCAGCAAAAATGCTGCTACCCACATTGTCAACCTTGACAGGCATCCAAAACTTGTCATTAGCAAATCAAATCCAAATAGGTGGATTATTATTAATTCTATATATAGGCAATAGTAGCAAATTCTTTTACTAATTGTATGATTATAATAACAGTACTGTTACTAGTATGACTGTGTTACAATTAAATGTCACCAGAAGTAAACAATAGAATTAAAATGATTTTATGTCAAAAATAATTCCACATTTATGTTATCAGGTGAGGATTTATTAAAAATAAATCTAAACTGAATTTAAATCACTGGTAGAATGAGAGAAAGAAAGACTAAATATATCAGGTATATATATATATATATATATATATGTGTGTGTGTGTGTGTGTGTGTGTGTGTGTGTGTGTGTGTTGAGAAAGGGAACAGGTGTAAATAAGAGAAAGAGAGAAAGGTAAAAAGAAAGAGACAGTGAATGTATGTGTGTGTGAAAGTGATTTATCCACTTGAAGTTAATACCTGTCAATCTATTAATCTCCACCCACTTAATCTATGAGAGAATTGATTTTCAAATAAATGTATGAAAACAGAATTATTTGTCGTATTTAATTTTATCATCATATATACATCTTCCTTTTATGAAATATTATCTCTTTTTCCAGTATTGATGGGGGTCTCCTTCCAAACCTTTTGTTTGAAATATTATGGAATGTCAACATCTTGATTATGCCATTATTTTCTCTTTTGAGTTTTCCATCTTAGTTTAGTAGGATCTAACTATAATAAAAATATATAGAGATCATTCATGCAATTTTTCCTGAAATCATGATCACTTTTCCCATAACTGCTT